CCATTTCTCCTCACTATCACCATCAATTGTCTGAACGACTGCTGCTCCTGTTGCATGACAGTGATTAGGCCAGAACGACGTGTCTTTGACCGATGGTCGTGGATTGAGGGCAGTCAAATGCAGGCGTGGCTGATGGAGCTGCTCTTACTGTACCCAGCTCTGTGCCTTGGCCAGAGGGCACTGGATGAAAAAAATGAGGAGTTTGAGGGCAGCGAGATTTACTTTCAAAAATTGGGATGTGGTCATTGACCTCAACAACTGTCCTTCATGCAAGTACAGACAGTCAGTTTGTCAGTTTTGAACCCTCCACCTTCACATGTTGGGTGTTAAGATGGTATTTTAAACTTGAGCTGCTTCAAAAGCAGTGAAATTATCAAATATACAGATTTGTTCATACAACCGAAGCATTGGATGTTTTTCTAAATGGTTTCTACAAAGTTTGCAACATGACTAATACGTCCCGTTTGAGAGCCCTAGTTTGTCTACATATCAACACGTTTACTGTATATTTATGGAAGTATGTGACATCCCATTCCTGACTCAACATTGGGAAGCCTGTTGACCACTGGTAGAAATGACTGTACCAAAATATGTATGTGAGGAGTGTTTCCAATATGGCCGCCCGGAGAGACTTTCCTTCCAACCCATGACTCCTGCAAAATGTTGGTCTTTCTTTCCCCAATGCTGCTTCTTTTCTGTGCATTTGTTGGTTGCATGGTGGTGCTAATGGAATAGCCAGCTCTGTGGGTCCTCACTCCTCACCAAGTCAATTTACTAAAGTGACAGAGTCATTTACCAGCCAGCCAGCCTCTCCTGTCCTCACTTAATTAGAAGCCCCCTCGGCCTGTCTCTCTTGGCTGCCAACATTTTGCCTTCTTTCTCTGACACCTTCTGTGGAGAGTCCACATCACTTTCTTTTTTTTTTGGTGGTTTTTCAATCACTTATCTTATATTTCTTTGCCATTTCCACCTTCCACCTTTACACTGACCTTTCATTCTTTTCCAACTTGCGTGAAAGACATTGAACTGTCACTCTTTGAAGACGCGTTGATGAAAACGTCTCCGTCATACGTTTATTTCTGATAGTCAGTTAATGTGCCATTATCATGCTGTTTTTTCTAGTAAGACACAGATGCAGCCGTTTCTGCGATTTACAAACTCACAATATGTGAGTAATAAAGAAATGACACACGACTTGAGTCATCTGCCGTTTTCTTTGTGGATAAAATAAAGAGAGCGAGATGAAAGTCATATTTTCGATAAGTTGAAACAAAGCAGACAAAAGGACTCGAGTCTGGTTCAGGAAGAGGAGAATTAAAATATAAATTTGGGAAAGATGAAGCAGGAGCTGATCATGGGGGAGAAACAGCGGAGAAAACATAATATGAGAGCGATAAATATAGCAAAGGAGGCTGGAAGGGCAGTGAACTCATGAAATACAGCAGAGCGTGAGGTTTGAATGAGAAAACAAAGAGTTTACAGCCTTTGGCAGAGGAAGGACACACACACACACACTAAGACCTAATTAAGTGTTAACAGGTCTGCTGCTACCAATTTGCAATTTGAGTTGACAACAGTGATGGTTCCTGTCTACAAAAGTCTTCACACAGTAACAGAAACGCAGGATTGACGATGGATCAGAGTCATGTGATGATGATGTTTTCACTTTTTTTATTATTATTATTCCCTCCACACAACATTTCTCCATCCTCCCTACATTGAGACATTCTCCAGCACAGTGGCTAAGTGTAAGCTGTGGGTAAGTGAATCCCTGACCTATTCAGTGACAACTCTTCGAGTGGTGTTTGTTTTCTTCCTTATCTCCAGCCAGTCGACTCATGGAGCTCCATCTGGCCATTGATTTTGTACAAGCCCCTTACAGTCAAACCATTTACTTGTGTTACCCTAGCCTACGATAGCACCACCCCTGCCCCCTCCCCTTAGTTTTTTTACCTCTTTGTGAAATAAAACCCAGTTGTGATTTCAGCCCCATGTATTTGGAGTGTCTTTGCTCCTTTGTTCACAGTTGAAATGTACAGAATTACATTTTTAATTTTGCTTTATGATTTGAATGGAAGACTTAGAACAAATACTCGTCTTATTATTTCAAATCAAGTTTTTTTGTAGCTATAACAGAAGGTTTATTCCCAATTGACAGCATTTTTACCATTCCTTTGGACTGTGCGTCGGTGCAGAAGCCATCACCGTCCTCTGATAGGCATCTCCTCTTTCTCTGGCCCTCTATTTGAATGTTAAACAGGAAGCCACAACAAGGCCAATCCTTTTATGTCTTTAGATTTAACGACCAATGAAAAGCCACAGTGAAAGCTTTACAGGTCCTGTGGGTTTTGGGGGTGACCGTCACAAAGCCTGTTAGCTGGATGTTAAAAGGCAGGTGAGAGTGTTTTGTAAAGGCAGATTGAAGAGGAAAGGTGGAAAGTTCGTAACAGAAAGGAGATGTCAGGGCAGTGCAGCTACGGTCAGGGTGGAGGAGTGACAACAGAGGAAGAGCGAGCGAGAAAGGAGAATTGAGTTACAGCAGCAGACGCTATTGTAAATAAGGCGAAGGTAAGAAAAGAGATGGCAGGCCTGCTTTATAAGGTCATTTAAAGGAGTAATGTGGCACGCCGTCTGGAATTGGCTTTCATTAAAAGAGCCGTCGGGTGAGAGAAGGAGAGGTAGACAGAGAGAGGGGGAGAGAGGGAGAGGCATGCAGTGAATGTGTGTGTGTTTGTGTGAGTGGCTGGGTTTATAGATGCAGTTTTACCAGACACTTGCATACACACATTTTTTGGAATTTACATGCAGTTATACAGTCTTGTTGAGGATACAGTTAAACACTATGTGGCTCCACCGGGAAAAACAACCATTAGCACCCCCACCACATCAACTGTTTCCTAACATTGTCATTCAGCAGAGACACTGGTGTCCAACAATACTAGTACAGACTCACTTGTGAACAATAGCCTACAGCTATCATTACACAGGCCAGCGATAAGGTTATGCTAGCTCACCAAGAACCTATAGTGCAGGTATGATTAATGCTGACCATTGTCCTTGATCACTGTCACAGTTATTTATGGAGAAGAGGTATTCTCCCGTCGGCCGTCCTGATAATAAGTGGCACAGACTGTTCTTACCTCTCGATTTTCTCCCTCCTTTGGTTCAATCATAAACTATGTGAAAGACGTTCTATAAAGATTTTTTTTCCCCCTCCAATCACAGTCGTGGCCACTGTATCTTAGCCCCATATCCATTATCTGCTCATTCATTCTCACTCCTTTTTCTTCCCTGGCTTCTTTTATTAGCTAAGACACACCAATTCCTCGTTCCATCCTTCTTTCAGCTGAAAACCGCTCACATTCATTCTGACAATGACACATAGCAGCCGCCTGCCACCATATCCCATCCATTCAGCACAATGTCCTGACCAATTCTCCCTGTGTGTCTACACCTCTACTTTACTCTATTTATCCATCCATCCATCCATCCATCCAGCACTCGATTCCCACTCAATGACCGCGGCCTCCTCTACCTCCCAAGTCCTCACTAATGCTCATTTGCATCATTTCATCTCTCCTTTTCTTGGTCTGGGCTGGGATCCAGTTGTATTTTATTTTAGGAGTCCATAGTAGGAACAAAGGTCTCTATAGGAAGGTGTGTAAAACAGAGGGGGCTTACACGAAACATATAGAGTAAAACTGTGACTCAGTACATGGAGAGCCAGCTGCTTATGTACTGTATGTCTGATCAGCTCCTGAGTTCACTAAACCTAACAGGGCAATTCATCTGAGCTGGAGTTTAGCCTTTAATGCTCACAATATCATGACAGTTGCAGTTCAACATGAAATATGGAGGCTAAGGTTTCCTTTGGATGGATAGTCATGAGAATGATGACAGTTTTTTGTTTGTTTTCCTCAATATTTCACTTTTAACTTTGTCAGGTGTATGTGAACACACATAGGACATTTGGGAATATCTGGTTTTATGATGTTTTAATATTGACTAACAAAGATCCAAACAGTATTGTTGCATTACATATATAATGATATATATAATGATAAACTTAGCGTCTTCACAGCTAACTATCACAGTCCAACGACTTGGCAATGTGCCGTAGGTCTGATTGTAAACTGCTGGCCTTTATTAACAACAACCAGTAATGATTGTTGTATCATATGTACTCTGTCCATGTGTTATTATGGTCTGCAGTTGTCCATTTGTACGTGGTTAGTGATTAGTATCACCATAGAAAACTGACCTCTTATTCGAGGGTCTCTCTCTCTCTCTCTCTCTCTCTCTCTCTATCATACACACAAACACCTCACCTCATCACATGAGGGATCAAGTGACTTTATCAACTGGGGACCCTTTGGTGCAGAGAGGTTGAATGTGGCGCTGACACTTTCAGCACATGTGCATATGCTAGCAATCTGTCTGTCAGGCACTTACACACACTTGCTGGTATCTTGAAATAAACACGTACTTTCGGACCCCTCGGGGCCATGTTGTGATCCGTCTGTCATCACCTGAAACTAGAGAACGAGTGGACTTGTACCCCAGCATCCAAGGCGACATCTGCACCTTATCACGGAGCTCATTCTTACACAAACACACGCTTTCATGTAGGTTTGCACTTTATTGCTTTCAGTTGTTCTTCCATTCTTGAATAACAGAGTGTGTTGTCAGGACAACACATACATTGCACACACACACACACACACACTCACCCCAAGGTTTGTCCTTCAACTCATCCACCTCTCATCAGTGTGTGAGGTCACCTGTCAATAACTGCACTGTTTCCACAGCTACCTGTCAGGTTTCCCAGCATGCATTTGGAGGTCTTACCTTTTACACGCTCGGCTGGTGATTGTCTCACTCTGCTGAAGCAGAATCGCTCACCGGAATGAACACACACTCACACTCACAAGGCGAAGCTCTTTTATGCTAAGCTTCACGCAGTTGAATATAGAACCAATTTTCTTTCTGTCTGTTTGTAGGTGGTGAGAGTTCCAGTGGAGAGCTGCGAGCAGTACACCACTTGTGGAGAGTGTTTGGGCTCCAGAGATCCTCACTGTGGATGGTGTGTCCTCCACAATGTGTAAGTGCTTCACACTCACGCACACATTAACCCACTTCAGACTGTTCTCTTCACATGTATTCTACTGTATTCAACACAAAAGGTAATATAAAAAAGAGCCAGTGATGTGTGCCAGCTCAGTCAATGAAGTGAAAACGTCGTAACAGAAGAGACATTGATTTCATTATCGTTTTATGTCATATACATCAGTGGTCCCCAAGAAACGGTCGGCTGGTATCAGTCGTTACTCTAGACCAAAAATAAGACGTACTGTATATTCTTTGTTTTGACCTTTTGTTTTGAAACTTTTCCAGATTATCTTTTAATGAAAAACGTAAAGTGATGTGACTGGATTCTTTTGGAGTAATAAGTAAATTAGTAATTAGTAGAAGTACTTTGTTCCACTGTGTCCCACTGTGGCCCGGTACCAATTGACCTACGGACCAGCACCGATACCCAGACCGGGGATTGGGCACCCCTGCTGGACATCATACACGATCATTTCTGTGTGTGTCTTTTCTCTTTTTTCTCCAAAAGTACATTTGAATATACATCTGTCAAAGGAACAGTCCACTACACAGGGCTAACTACGACCTGCGCAGATGTAGCTGCTCTGATTCAAGACCCTCTGATACCTCAAATAGCTTTTAATTAGTCATTAAAAGTATAATTCATATCTAATTTATGCAGCAGGGAAGTTTCCTGCGAGCAAAGTGATGCATTTCTCTCCTTTATCAAACGGCCCAAACCCCTAATAGCACATAAATAACCATGTGGTCCGGCCACACGCTGGCACAACAACACTTCCATTTGTCTTGATGCTGCTCTGCTTTTTTTATTGTCTGGTGATATTTGCATTGTACGTTGCAATGTTGAAACCTTTCCCAGATTTCAGTTTGAGGCCAAATATGTAATCTTTACAAGACGGAATCTTTGGAGTCTTAGTGAAGAACGCGCGGGCACGTGTGTGTGTGTGTGTGTGCATGTGTACACGTGTACGAGAGGGTAATAGAAGAGTTCTGTGTTATTGAAAGGTGACAGGATGTTAACCACGAGCATCTGGCAGAGTGCCATCTCACTATGCGTTAATTAAACTAATAAAAAATATCACCAACTGTTCTTTGCTCAAGGCACACACACACACACTCACACACAGACTTTTGGACACACCTCCCTGTTTCTAGTCTTCGGCACATTCTGATATTTTGATATTGTCGTCACGACCATGATGGACCTGAACCAGCGGTAACCCCCAGTGGGGCTCATTTGGACCCCGTGTCGTGTGTGTGCAGCGGCTTCATTTCCCACCTTGATAATGTCATCAAACCTGGTTTGGTCCCTTGAAGATGAAATGGACAAGTCGTATTAAAAGGCAAATAATTTATAAGCCTCATTTCAGCCCTCTGGTGCTTTTAGCCACCGTCTTATTAAGATCCGTGGTGGGTTCAATCAACAGTGGAATTAAAGGGGTAGTACGAACACACACAGACACACACGCACACATATACACCGACACACATGTCGGGTGTTTCCAGGCAAATTATCACACTTCATTCACATAAATTCCCTCAGTCACACATCGCAGCAGAGATATGAGAAGCAGAAAAAGGGTTTTTAATGAGAAAATACGTACATTTCTGTTAGATCCCCCGTTTGTGTGTGCTGCGTGTTTGGATGTCAAGGGAGTGTTTGGTGACAGCTTTTTTTTTTTTTTTTGCTGAGTGTGACTGAAGACTAACTAAACAAGGCTGCTGTGCGAGGAGGCAGTTAGCATTTTTTTTTTTTTTTTCTGCCGCTCTCTTATTGTTTCGGCCTCACGGAGTGCCGTTTCAGCACTTTCCCCTTACCATGGGGACCAGTTGTTGTTAGTGCCGGGCCTGAAGTGATAGCTAATGCATTATAAATAGCAAATAGTAAAAGTGCTGCGATACGGGGGCTGTGTACTGATTTTTAGCACGATCAGTTGGCTCGTAATAAGCGGGAAGCAAATGCTGACCCCACTGATATATGGCTGAAAGGAATTGTATCATTTTTACGGTTTAAGAAAAAAAGCTTTAATGACTCGGTGTATATCTCCGGAGGAGTTAGAATTAGGAGGGGGATTTAAAATGAAAAGATAAGGAGGGGTTTGTATGTTCACAGAGACGAGCGGTTCTTGCCCAAATGTCAGGGCCAATAAGGTAATGATGTAGAGGCCTACAGTAATGGTGGAGGGAAGCTATTAGCCTATTTGTCTTCCATTATTGCTCCCATTTGTGTGACGCAGACGTCTGTGCATGTTTGTCATCTTAATATGATCATCATATTAGTGAAACAGTTGATGATATCCTCTGCTTTTCTCTCTGTCCCTCCTCACGGCTCGTCTCTGTCTTTTCTTCTCTGCACATGCAGTTGTTCTCGTAAGGACCGGTGCGAACGAGCAGGAGAACCGCAGAGGTTCGCCTCCGACCTTGATCAGTGCGTGGAGCTCACCGTTCAACCGAGAAACATCTCCGTCACCATGTCTGAAGTCCAGGTAAGCCCCGCCTCCTCTCTGGTCCAACGTCAGGTAGAAATGTGAATCTAGTTTTACCATTGGGAATGAAAATGACCGTGTAAACCAGTAGTTACTAGTTTAACATGCCACGCCCTAACCTCCCTCACATGTACACATTCACAGCTAATGTGATTTCTTTAAAATCACTATTTTAATTCAACAAAGGGAAAAATTAGTAAAATTATCACTACTCTGGCTTTAATAAGTAATTTAATTTAATTAATTTGCCTTGCTGTGGTCTCTCTAATATGTCTACGCCCCCTACAGGGATTCTGCCATAAAGTTTAAACCATAGCGTTTGTGGTACTGCATAATTATACGTAGAAGGAACGAGCTAGTTCCTGCATTTTCACCATAAACGGCCAGAGGATTTATGTACCTCAGACACAATGAAAACTGCCCTCCAGGCTCCGGAGAGTTCTGTGACCCTTTCATGTAATATAACACATTGAGTCACTTCCTCTGTTGCTGCCTTTTTGTTGCTAATGCTGCAGTCGTACCACAGTTATTAATACATCTGTTTCTACTGTGATGGCTCGTCTCTGCACTTCCACTTCTTGTTTTGGTGTCCGATAAATATTCAGTGCAATAAACTTACTAACAAAACGATAAACTCACAACTGTTCTTTTGGTAGTTTATCATCTTTCAAAAATCAACATTGTTAGAACTAGAGATAACAGTAAATTATAATTATTTTTTTCTGTTCCCAGTTTTTCACAACTCTGTTTTCTAACCAAACAGCACTTGTGTATTTTTTTTAATCAAATCACAGAAAAACATAATAAGAGATGGCCGCAACGGGCAAAACGCTGAGTGTTGAGTGTTATTGTAGCAGTTATAATCCAAGGTGTAATTTCCAGAGGCTTGTTTTTCCTTCTACATTTTTATGTTTTTAATGGTAAACTGGTGGAACGCCGAGAGCCCGTTACAGAAAGTGTAGCTGTCAGCAGAGCAGCAGTCTGTGGTGGTGCACGTTGTTTAGTGTCATTACTTTAATCAGCCCTGGTGTCTGCAGAGCGCACTTACCTCGAGTTCTAGTTTACAGAATTTTTACAAGAACGTACCTATGGTATTCGTTCACAGTACAGTACAATACAATATGTCCGCCCTCCTGGTGATGATGTGTAATTCTGTAAGGACAGCGGTGAACTAAAGCTCTTCCTCCTCTACAAGCACACATCCTAGCCTCGGTGTGATAGTGGTTATAATGAGTGACGCACGTACACTTTTGCTCCTCCGCCTGTCACACACCACTACTCCGCCCTCCCCCCAAACACCCATTAACCCTCATGTCATATCTTATAACAATCCATGTACACCATGTCCTTCCATTGATCTTGCTCTCACTGTCTCCTCTCTCTCTCTGTGTCTCTACCTCTCTCTCTACAGCTCGTCCTCCAGGCCCGTAACGTGCCTGATCTGTCAGCAGGCGTCAACTGCTCCTTTGAGGACTACGTGGAGACAGAGGGACACATCCAGGGTGGACACATCTTCTGCCTGTCCCCCTCCGTCCGTGACGTGATTCCGATCACAAAGAACAAAGGTCGGGACCGGGAGGGTGAATGACTGTGAAGTCACTGCGGTGGTGATGTCACTGGGTGTTGGTGGATGTGATGTTAAAGTAATGAGACAAAATAGATTTTAGAAAATGAATCTTGAATTCAAACCCGACGTTCTACTCTCTCTCAGTCTCTTGCTGTCAAAGCATTTTTACTGTTTCCTCATTATTTTTATGCACTCTTAAAGGAGGCTGTTTATTGACCAGAACAGAATTTTAATGGCACCACATGATTTGCTCAGTCTGTCTATTTTCAGCAAACCATGTCACTGCCAATAATAGTGGCACTTTTAATTTAAGATTTACAAACACTATTCTTTATTTATCCGCTGAAAATAGATGTTTAAAAAACAAAAAAAATCATTTTTGTTGCCAGCATTGTCAGCTTCATTTTTGCAACTTTTAAACAACATTGATTATGCTTTTAACTTCTGTTTGAAGTGCCAACATTCATGTGGTAAATTTAAAAATATCTTCTTTTTTTTTCATCTTTGGCTTAACGTCTAATCAAATCAAACAGGAAAGTAATAAAAACATGTTCGGTGCTGACATGCAGAGCAGTGAAAACATGTCAGGTGTGCAGACTAACTTTCCTCAAAGCCACCTCTCAGCACTTCTTCTTCTTCTGAGGCCACTGTGCCCCATTACCAGCTCTCATCAGCTCTGGCACCCGCTCACTGATTGGTGCTGCTATTTTTAATGCCACCCCACTGTGGGTGTGACATGAGCGGTGTGTTGCTAAGTTACACTGTTTCTTGGTGTGTCAGTGTTATTGGTGTGGTCACACCAAAGAAATGCGAATGTCTCTGATACTGATGCGATGAGAAAAAAACACTCCTTGATTATTCCTGCAACTTGTGCTGATTATTTTCTCTCCAAAGGGTTTAAGATTTAGGAATATAATTTCTCGTCTGGTTGTTGTAGGTGACAAGCGAGTGGTGAAGCTCTATTTGAAGTCCAAGGAGACCGGCAAGAAGTTCGCCAGCGTCGACTTTGTCTTCTACAACTGCAGCGTCCACCAGTCGTGAGTTTGAATAATTTAATTTTTCTGGGTTAATTCTCATTTATCCCTTTTTAGTCTTTTCCTCCTGGTTTCCCGCTGGGATTTCTCATGTTACCGTCCACAACAGATAAAGTTAGCATCCACAACACACACACACACACACACACACCAACCTCCACAGGAGGCTCAGGTTTCCCAGGGAGTGAAATATCGAACACGCTGTATATGAGAAATGATGGGGATATGAGATGGTAATCTGAGTGTTATTATTCTAACCCACAACACACACACACACTGATGGCAGCTTTACAATTAATTAATTACACACAATCCTGTAATAGTGCCTTTCAATCCCAGATTATGACTTCATACATTTTCATTTATTATATTTTTATTTCTGCTTTAGTTTATTGAACAGTTTGAACACAAAAAAATCCCAGCTGGTTGAATATTATGTTAACCATTAAGTGTAGTGGATAACACTACCTTAATAGTTGGTTTGGTTGGTGATTTTTTTACTGATTGACTGTGTACAGAAGTGACCACAGACGCCCTTTGACTTCAATGAGCCGACTTTACAACTACAAACAGTGGTACAAACCTTTTTAGAGCAGCTATGGTTAGCAAAAACAAAATTAGTATTGACTGTAGCAAGCAAGTCTACAGTGATGATTTTTTTTAAATTTCCTCAAACTCTAAAATGAAAAAACTCTAAAAGTCCTGGAACAGAGCACCCGTGATCACAGTGAGTTGAGACGTTCATGTCTTAAAAGCATTCAGTTTTTAGAAACCCTCCTTTCATTCGGCCTCGTCTCTAAGCCAGTCTACTCCTAGTGTAAAGCACCATGCTGGTATAAAAAGAGTCCTCCAACTCTTACACCCTCCTGCCCCACACAATACTCTGCCTCCTGTCCATCTCAGCCTGATCCAGGGGAAGCTGCAGCGTCTGCTGGGGTATTAGCCTCGGGGCAGCAGATGGCTCCGAGCCCCCTGGAGTCCTGCAGGGCTCCATCATGGTTTCCCTCTGGATGTGAAATGAACCTCCTTCGAGGATTGCCCAGAAACACACACACATAGACATGCACGGCCACACCTCGCCCTGCTCTGTCACTTGCGTCTCATTGAAGCCCTGAGCGTCTCGGACACCTAATCCGTTACTGTGACCTTTGACCCGCCTCCCCCCCGTCTCTGTGCCCTCTTACACAAATCCCCTGCCACCGTGATGATTAGCTGAGCTGGTTAAGGGTGGGGTGGTTTTCAATGTCAACTCACGGTTAATACATCTCCCATTAGGGCCCCATGCTGTAACGTCCACTACCTGAAACTGTCTCGGGTGTCCTTATGGCGAGAACATAAATTCAGTGATTTTCCAATTACATCAATCAAATCCAACTGTCACTTGGATGATCCCTTATTAGCTGTAATTGTTGGGAAGATTCTAAGATTGTACGAGGAGTGATATCGGCAAGACTGTTGCCTATTTATAGATACGGTGCCGTGAATGCTGATTGAATATTAAATGTGTGGTGGAGCTGATCTAATACAGCCTCCCAGTGATGTAATGGACACATTTAATGAAGTTACAGAAATGGCACTTTATATCTTCAACAGCGACTGCTGGAAAAAAGAGAGAGATGCTGAGATGTGAAGCTGCTGCTTCAGCTCGCTTACTGGCGTTGCCCCCCGGCGTCAGTGCGTGGCGTCTGATGAGATGGGACTAGAACTATCATTGGTTTAATGACATCAAGCCCACACTGGCATGGTCTTCAAGAATCCTTGGTCATTCACCACAGAGTTTCCCGTCACATTAGCTTTGACTCAGATATAGGTCTATTCAAGGACAAATATATGTGGGTTTTCTGGAAAACCTGTTTGGTGCCATGTTGACCTATTTTAAAAATAAACTGTTTAAAAAAACACACACTCAAAGACAAATACACACTAATTTACGATGTGGCCCATGCCTGTTAAAAATAACTTTTTATTTGCAAAGTGGTAATAATCTAATTAGAATTCCCACTGTTTCACGTTAAGGTTCACAGAAAGTGAGAGAGAAAATCAGCCACAGTCGTTATTGGCTCGTAATTAAATATTTCCATTTGACTGTTCTGATTTCAGTTCCCTACTATTTGGAAGTTAGTCTGTTTGTGTTTTAAATGTCCGAATTAGTTTTACAAATGATTCAGTTTAAATTATTAGTATAAAAAAAGACACGCTGCGTACCAACCGCTCTGATTTGGAAGGTTCCGGTAAAATCCAGTTAAAACTTGGGGGAAATGGACTTGTTCACTTAAACATATTCATCGTGAAGAGCCGCCAGTGCATAACTTAAAACGAATTTCGTGTAGTGCAGTGCTGTCAAATGCAACTCACTGGGGGAGCAGGCTGTATTTAGCACTCCAAACTAAGGAGAATGGAGAACATCACCATCTTTTGTGTGATACCCCACAAAACCCACTACAGCTCCAACGCTAATGTAGCTTGATTAGCATCTGAATGTAAGTGGTATAAATTAGCATTAAGATAGTGGCCATACGGGGAGCGTGACTGTGGCAACTCATATCTTCGGAGTGGCTACCGGTGATAGCAGTAGACAGAGAGGAGCTATAATGAAAACAGCAAACACCTCCCCCAACTACCCCCCCCCAACACCACCCGTCCCAAGAGGAGCATTATAATTATTCAGACCTGAGTGGCCTCGGGTGTGCTCTCCCCTGAAAGGGTTTGTGCCAAGGTTAAAAGAGAAGTTATAACATCCCGAGGCAGTTCTTGACAAGGGTTCCAAGTTACTTCAAGGAACTAGAGATTAAACAGTAGGGGGTCATCAGGGAGAACCTACTGTTGGCCTTGGGTGGCAAACGTAATGGCACCCTCTGATTTCCAAAGGCGTGATCATAAAAGTCTCAGAAAGACGGCAGTGGTTACCTGCTGATATTTTGCTCGTTATTTCAAAGTTGACGGTAGACTAACAAGCTCGATTTGACATGAATAAAAGATAAAAGTCAAATAGAGATGCTTAATACTGGGGCACTGTGACAGATGCACTGACGGGTGTTGGGTTGTGATCTTCCAACTGTAGGGTTGTTCTTCTTGCTGTCTGCTGGTTGCCCACTGTGTTAAGTGGGTGTTGTACTGTATTTTGATGAGCGCTGATGTGATGTGTTGGTGTCGCCTTTAAAGGTAGAATATTCAAAACAGAGATTGTTGTAGCTCAAATAAAGAAACCAACAAGTAAAAAGTGTTGATGATGAATGTTCACTTTAAGGTGAAGAAACTTAGAAAAACAGCACAAAGAATTTGTATGAAAAGAATGCTAGTTTGATTTGTTGTGAGCAGAGCATCGCGGTGCTGTTAGCATCAAGAGGACAATAGAGATAGGAGGAAATAAGTCAAAGATCAGTCAAGGTCAGTATTATTTAACTGTGGGAACACAGCCTTCTTCAGTCTCACAACATAGGTTTCACCTGCGAAAATCTTTCTATTCAGGTAGAAATACAAAGTCGTTCAGTAGAAAACAACAGGACAGTCTTGGTTTCTTGATGTTTCACCTTCCATCCAAGCTTCTCATTATAAGAGTTGTTATAGCAAAACAATGGAGCTGACCAAGCCCTGACCCAATGGCACGAAAGTTGTGATCACCAGGGTCAAGGTGTAGATGGACGTGTGTGGATCACCCGGGATGTTGGTATCCACTGAGTGACCCAGTGTGTTGTTTGCAGTCAGTTAGAACTGAGACAGTGCACTTGCCCTTTACTTAACTGCTTTGGGTACGACATGCAATCATACCAGAAGTCCAGCCAATGGCAGTCCAGTCATGTCCTGCTTAGCTATCATACTGTGGTCTTCTTCTTTCTGCCTCTATCTGTTGGCAGCAGTGACAAATCTCTCATTTGCTCTTGCGTGATATTAACCGGCTTGTAATTTCCATAGCCGCACATTCCTCATTCTTAATGGACAGATTCTTTCAGCACAATGCTAAATTGGCCAATTACACTGGCAGTGGGATTGAATTAAGCTCAGGCTTCTGATCTTTCCTAAAAGGAAGGGTCTATCCTGGAAACGATCACTTAAAGGGCACGCCAACCGAATAAGCTTCCTTAATTGATCCAAATGAATCCACGTCAGACTTGATGGATTTGTATACGCGTTCCATGTCTGAGCTTGAGAGTTAAATACCTCATTTTCTTTTAGTTGGGTGAGGGGAGTGCTCGTAGGGTTAAAACACAATGGAGAGCTTTTCTGGAGGTCCCTCGTATCAGTTCAGCCAGATGTGCCAATTCAGGCCTGGTAATTGTGGAGTCTCCTACACAGTGAGCACTTCTTGCTGCTGTTTTATTATTATTGATCTGCGCCTTGGCTGCATCAAAAAGCCGGACCCAAATGTATTCTGAGCAAATAAAATGCGGGAACAAGCTGTAGCTAAACGAGTCACAGCAAAGAATATCGGAAACTCAACTAAAGCTTCACAGCAAATGCTGCATTTATCTCCGCTATAAAATAAAAAAACGTTTTATTTCGGGAATCAAATATGGCGAAGGGCTTGAAAGCACATTGAATGTGAAAACCTGTTTATGAAATGTGTGCATGGAGCACTCTAGGTGTCCACTGACACATACACACACACACACACACTCCTCAGCTTCCATCCTAGTGTTTCCTCCATCTCCCATGAGGTGTCCAGGCAGAGCCGCACAGACTACACCCCGCCTACTGGCCATTTTTTATTCTCTCACATTCCCACAAAACCTGGCGTCTCCGTCTCCCTTGGGAAGCTCCACCTGCTTTTGATCTCTCTCTGGTCTTTCTCTCACTGTCCATCTCTCTGCACCTCTCCTAACCTAAGCATGTGAATTTAAATTGGTGAAGAGCTTGTAGCCGCGCAGATGAAAGAGAGCTTTGGCCACAGAATGGAGGGGAGCTTTTTAAAAGGGATAGCGGCAAATGAAAGGGAGGGCTTGATAGAGGGAAGAGTCAGAGAAAGAGGGAAAAAAAGATTATCAGAGCTCCAGACCTTCACAGTATAAAACCGCAGAGTTAGAGAAAGAGTGGGGGAAAAGGACAGGGAACAGGTTGACGGTCAGAGCGATGAGCAGGAGACGGACAGCTACCGGTGAGGGGAGAGTGATGGATGAGGGCAGTGTGGGAAAGAAAGAGTTAAGACAGTTAATAGATAGGACTGGAGAGCAAGAAATGAAATCCATGTGAGAGGAAAGGGCTGCTAAAGAGGTGCGAGAACAGCTCAGCCGTAACAACTGCAAAATAGACACTCAATAAAAGAAAGAAAAAGAGCTGTGAAAGAAAACGGAGAAGAGGACCATTACCTATAAATACTATAATCTCACACATTCTTTATATAGTTATAGGCTGAATTGTTATATTACCACAGTTTTATTGGCACATTTACCAAAGGTAACCTGTGTCTGGAAAAGTATAAGGCTCTTTTCAGTTTGACAAATATTACACAACAAGAGCTTTGACCGCAACGATTGTGTTTCAAGACAGTTTAGTTCTTAATTCTTATTTTTTGACTTCTGGTGTAGTTTGGACAAAACGGTTTATTTCTTAGGTCAAATCTCTGTTAACAAAGTTTTAGGATTTGTTTTGTGATATTTAAAGGAAATAAGGCTGTATAGATGTATAAACCACACATTATTATTAAGTGAAATCTTTTTCAAAACGTTATCATATGAACCAGGTCATAATAAATCCAAAAAAACAATTGCTCCTTTATTAGGCAATATATGGCTAGACTTTTCTATTGATAATATACACTTCTTTACAGCCTGCTTTATTCGGGCATGTGATCTCTGCCATCTTACAGTATAGGCCAAATTGTATAGTAAGCTCCCCCTGCTGGAGAGTAGGACTGTGGTTACTGTATAATTTTGTTTTCCAATCAAACCAATTATTTTTACAGTCATGTTTTTAACTCCTTATCCTCTCTCTCTCTCTCTCTCTCTCTCTCTCTGTGTGTGTCAGCTGTCTTTCCTGTGTGAACGGCTCCTTCCCATGTCACTGGTGCAAGTACCGTCACATGTGCACCCAGAATGCCAACGACTGCTCGTTCCAGGAGGGCCGTGTCAACATCTCTGAGGTAAGAATGATAACGATTTGCACGTATTTCAGCTGTTTTTAACAGTTTGAACTTCGACAGTATCCTAATCGCAGTATAGTTTAGCATTAATCCCTGTGAATCCAGGTGTTTTGTTGATCACACACAGCTGTGACGCTGCTGCACAGTGAAAATCCCAACATCCCAACTTATATTTCCGCAGCCTTGGCATGATAACGTCGAGTTGCACACACCCTCACACACACTCTGCGTGTTCCTGTGTGCCTGCTTTCTCTATGTGGCTCGTGGCTCTTGGCAGAATGACAACAGCTTGTGTACTGTGCGGCAATAATTCTGTCGTGGCCCATAAGGCTATAAGCAGGCTGGGATGAATGTCTATGGAAATACTGCCTTGTTCTTACATAGTGAAATGCTGCATTAGCATAAAAGCTAATATCAATCGTGGCAGTTGGCAGCTAGAGCGGGCGACATGCAAGGCATAGCAAGTGTTTGACAACTGCCGAAGTGAATACAAAGATGATAGTGATGGACGTGTTGCTGTAATGTTTTTTCCTCCTGGGTTTTTTCCTTCTTTTTCACACTTTTTGAACACAGCACACAGCACACGCTAACAAGAAAATTGAATGATATGCATATCCTCCTTAAGGACAAACAGATGTAAATCCACTGCCCTCTCCAGTGACAGGCATTTATCTGATAGGCGCCCAAATGAACACCAGCGCTCACACAGTGTCACTTTATCTCCCTGGGTTTACGTTTGCTTGTTTTCGCTGTGCAGATTAAAGTCCCCTCCTTCCGTGTTGCTCCTCCTAAATCACAGGCCTCAATTAATTGGCCAGCCTTCAATTATGTTTCCCCTTATCTCTTCTCTCAACTGGAGCTGAAGAGCAGAATCCCAAAGTCTGCCGTGTTAATCTAGTGCAGAACAACAAACCAGCCCAGCTTTCACGCCTCACAGAGCTAACTTCAGCGGTTTAGCGCGTTCATCTGCAGGACATGGGTAGTGTTATGGTGGGGTAACAGACTGAGGGAGAGGGCAGAGGGGCAACGGAAGAAATGACAAGAAGGACGGTCACTACTTAGAATGAGCCATAGTCAACCTCTCTCTCTCTCTCATTCGTTCTTCCTCCATCCCTTCCTCCCTTTCTCCCTTCTTTTCTTCCTTCCAATTCTCTCTCTTTGGCTCATTCTTAGCAAATATTTTCCCTATTTCTTTTTGACTCTCTTCTGAATCTGGTGTCTTATGCCTGTGTTGCCATGGCAACCTGAGGGATGGGCGGATGCTTTTTCACCTTTTTTTTTTTTACATTCTGTGTCTTCTTCTTTTCAAACGACAAGCATTATCTCGTCCAAGTGTAATTTGTTGCACTAAATTTCTGTGATGTTTTTTTCCAATAATTTGTTTATTCTGTGAAAAGACTGAACCCAGAAAAAGAACAAAGAGAAGAGAGAAAAAATCAATCAATACGGTACAAAAACAAAAGAAGAAATTAGTGTAATGAGTGACATTTCTAAATCAAATATGCATGAACCAACAATGCCTCCAATGGCACAACACGTTCACAAATTAGGGAGCAACCGGGCGGAAAATTGCAGGAGAGAAGCCGAGAGTTACAAATAAAAAAAAAAATTAAAAAAAAGGAAGAAAGGCTGAAGGTTGAAGGAGAAAATGTTCGAACACTTTCACATCGTAAAACTTTCTCCTTCCCCCAACCTCAGTAAATGAAACCTAATTGCCACTTGTTCTTAAACCTTTCTATTTCATTTCCTCCGCCTTTTACTTGTGCCTTCTCTTTTCTCATCCTCGGAAATAAAGCTCAGTTCTGAGCCAAGGGCTGTGAGAAGTGCCAGCCAGTGTTCAGGGTGGTTGGTCTGCTCCGTGTTTCGACAACCTCATGTGTTTGTTTTGCTGTGAAGCGAGGCTTCGTCTCACTTGAGCAGTCAAGGCAGTTAGCTTGATTGAGATTAGTGGTTACTCTACTGGACACCGTCACCATCTCCAACCCAACAAGAAGTCTGCAGCTGTATTTCTGTCTTCTTTACCTTCTTTACATTTTTCAGGGTCAGAAACTGATATTTGGACGGTAAAATCAGGAGATGTAGAATTTGATTTGGTGAATTTTTATTTTTGGTGCAAAACTGCACAAAAACAACTAAATACCAAGTTTAACTTTGGTCTCTAGTTCAGTCAGTCTTAGTCAGATCTTGATGAAACGTATGGTTTTGACATTTGCTCGTTCTTCGACTAGAAGGTCGTCTGTCAGACTGCCAGGTTTTCGTGTTTCATCCTTCTCGTTCATTTGTTCACCTGTGCCTTTCAGCGTTTTTTGTTTTTTTTTATCGTAACTCTGTAAGATGAGATCGGATTCTAGAGTTTCTGTGGATATTATTATACATGAGCCAGTGTTTAAGTAACAGACTGGATCTTTTTTCTTTTTGCCCCAGGTTTTAAACAGTCGGATTAAAGAGGTTAATATACAAACTTAGCATAGTTGTAAACTCCAACTGGTATTCACTTTATTATAACTATTAATGAAAAATAATTTATTAATTATGTGTAGATTTATAACTACACTGCACACAATGTGTCATAAAGTTTAAATATTGGTTTTAATTATACTAGGCTAAAAATACTCTCCTGCCAAGTAACACTGACACACATGCCTGAGGTCGTGATTTTAAATGTTGGTGGCTCGTGCCTGGCTCCGAAAGTTTTTCCATTTATATGAATGAAACACCTGCTGTCACAAATTAAATTAAACCAAAGTACAATTAGAACCGCCCAGCAGAGGTGCTGGGTGTGTTGTTCACTACAATCAAATTTAGCTGTCTCTGTGTGTGTGCGTGTGTCCTCAGTCATCGCGGGCTCTCCGTCACTGTCTTCTTCCACATTTATTTTCGACCACGTCCTCCACGTCTTTGTGACATGGATTGTGTGACCTGGGTGATACATTTTTTCACTCCTGTATAAATTCAACACCTCTCACTTCTTGTCCGCCTTCTGTCTCCTCTTTGCGAGGATAGACACTGGGCTGAGTCATGTCACCCTTGTCTGTTCCCTGCCCTCCACCCACTTCCTCTTCCTCCTCCTGGTGTCGATATGTCAGCCGTGTTCTTAGGTTCCTCTAACTTTTTCCACCTTTTCCTATATTAGATCCTACAGTAAGTCAGAGGCCAGAGTTAAAACTTGCTGTGTGTGCCCTGCACATGTCTCCATGACTTGGCCTCATATGTTTTACTGTGTTTCAGTGTGACTTGTGGCCAGATGAGCGGGCGTCAGATGTGTGTTTTTTACGAGCCCTGTGTGTGTCTTTACCAGACTTCTAGGACCTCAGACACTGATTACACACACTTACTCATACCCTCTTCCCTGTGGGTTGGGCTCTAACTATTCCTTTAATTGAATTTTGTTGCTAAGCGACCACTGGGCAGACATAATGATGCTAGTATTCCATGATATCTGAAGTAGCAGTACACTGCGTTCGTGCGCTCATTTGAAAACCTCAGATAAGACAATTGTTTGTAAGCTAAGCTAAAATATTTAGGTCCTCATATTCTGGAATCAGGGATTGTACCTTTGTTTACAGCACCCCCTGCAGGGGAATTAATTACAGCACCTCCTGCAGGGGAATAAATTGAATTTAAATTGGAATTTAATAACTTGAAAGTGATATGCTCTCTTTAAGATAAACCAAATGAAGAATTGTGTATTAAAGAAATCTTTTTTCTTTTTTTTTGTATTTTCACAATTTATTTTCCTCTCCAACGTCTCTTATTGGGTGACGTGTTCTCCCAGGGTGATGCATTAACAAGGGAGGCTCCATTGAGACTGCTCTGGGAACAAAGCGTAGCAATTCACAAGAATATGTTTCCTCTAGCACTGGCTTACCCAAGCATTCACTACCTCTGTATGATGACACAAACATACAGATGCCCACACACACACACACTCACACACATGCACGCACACAAAGGCTGACAGGGTTATTTGTGACAGAGGTGTGAAGGTCCCGGACCGTGACATTCTGGCACACAGTGTTTACCCTGGCTGGTGCTCAGACACTGTGCAGAACACGCTCAAACACACACACACACACACACTTCACAGAAGGACATCCCACAAACTGTGGGCCAAGGCTGCTCGGGGGGCCACACTGTGTGCATGGATGTATGTATATGTGTGTGTGTGTGTGTGTGTGTGTGTGTGTGTGCATTAGTCTGAACTGTTTTAGTGTGAGTTTGTGAGACTGTCGCTGGTTCTTATCAGGACAAAGCAGAACCAACAGCACAGGGCCGAAGGGGGCATGTGGGTGAGGGGCAGGGGAGAGAAGGCATGTGGTTGAATAAAATGGACCTCTTTTCTTCCGTTGCCCCCCCCCCATACATCTCCCACTCTGTTTTGCTCTTATCAGTTAGCAGTATCTGATCCCATTCCTTAGAATCATCCGTGTGTTTTTCCTCCCGTCCGTGCTCACGTCCATCCGTCACTCAGTAGTTTCTGTGTCTCTGCACTCTTTTCCTTATTTGTAATAGTCGTGGTGGAACAAAAACGGTGAAGGTAGACTGTCCAAACCCTCGGCCCAAACAAACAAACGACGTAGCGAGGTGGTGTAATTAGGACCAGCTGTACCACAAGAAAAAAAGAAACCGAAAAAGAAAAAGAGAAACATAAAAACAAGGGCGTGAAGACAAGTGCAGAAAACTTTGGCCCCGTAACAAGCGGCGGATTAAATGCAGATTGACGCAATTTATTTTCCAAACTCATGCTCCATGGCTGTGGCTGAGGCAAGATGGGAGGGAGGGAGGGAGAAAAAGGGACAGAGGGAGGGAAAAAAAGGGACATGGAGAGGAAGTGGAGGCGACAGGGTGAAGCAACCACATGCCTTCTCTGCCAGATGGATCTTAGTCGGACCGTGACCAGCCAGTGTTTAACCCTTAGACTGGTTTGGTTTCGGTGCTGACAGGCCTCCAGACAGGGCTTAAAAAAGTTTTATGGGAAACTTCTTTGAAGCCTGTACGAT